CTTACCTACTGCATCTTGATCCGATTACGTTATTTCTGGGATTCTTAGTTCTTACTATAATCCAAATATTCTTAATTATCACAATAAGATATGTCGAATGATCAATTGACTTTCTGATCTGACTGAGATCGCGTGATGATTTCACTCAAAGTTCGATCAGTTGATGTACAGCCCATAGTAAACAGATGTCAAACTATAAAATACCTATATACGAAAATATGGTTCGATTGATTTACCAAGATTGCATACTAATATTCACATGTGTTAAATTCTATTCCATAGAAACACTAATTAAGATCCTAAAAACTAAATTGCACTACATTCAGCTTTCAAGGTAGCTATTTTAATTTACGAAAGAACTAGTTCTTTCCAAGTACAAATAAGATTTGTCGAGCAAAATACAAAGATACATAAATGGATACATAAGGAACATTTACATACTTGTTTACATAGACCTCAAAAATCAACATTGTAAATAAAACTAATTTCAATGGTTGCAACAACCTTGTAATGAGCTTGTATAAACTAATAGAGTTCTTTGAATTCCGTTCTTGTTGTTTCAGTACGATTCCAGATATTTGGTACTCTTTGATTGGTGGTGTTCTAGGCACTCAAATGTATTAATTCTAGTCAGTGTGGCAGTATATTTGTATATCTTGTAGTTTGAGGAGCATTTTTGCTCTGAAGAGACGATCTCGAGCGGATTTTCATAGAGTGTACAGGTGTTTTCTAAAAGGACTTACAATTATGGAGGAATAGGCTGTAGATAACGCGTTAAAACTTGACCTGCCGAAATGTGATGTCATAAACGTTCTGCTTCATTTGACATAAAACACTTGTGCCGTCTAGGAAATCCGTTCGAGATTGTCTCACCAGAGCGCAATCTCAGGTTTGCAGCTTCGGAGAGCTTAAGTAGTAACTCGTACTACATGGGGGATGCCGTCAAGGCGAACGCGACTCTCTACTTTATGCGAAGACAACTTAGCACAATCACTTCGCAGTTATTCCTAACACTGTTTAACACCTACTGACAGCCACACGTTGAAGTTCACAATATTGTTGCGCTTCCTCTCCTCGAGTGAGATATAAATCTCTCAGACCAAGTAGAGAGGCGGAAAACCAAGTGTGTGATAATCCTAGGACGTAAATCTTACACGAACAGACTTTGACCTCTGGAACTATTCGCGATGAGCCATAGGTGAACATGATGTGACTTCATGGTGGCAGAAAACAAATTTTAAGTAAGCTAATCCACCCTAACACGAGCACATTACCAGAACATAATTACTATGCTGCTCAAGGCTCCCCTGGGGAGATTGTACATCAAATGACTGCAGCCTCATCAGTGGATATATTTAAGTGGAGACTCGACAAACTCCTACCCATTCATGGATAACCGTTCCCCTTACAAGCCAGCTATGTCTGATGCATGTCTCACAAACCCCCAAAATAAATAATCCTGAAGTTTTCGATATTGATATTGACCTCATTACTTCTACTGGACATACATAGCCGGAAGTGCACGGTCAGGCATCTGTACTGTAGCTGTAAATCAATCCTGAAAATAAATAGCTCTGTAAGTTTTAGTTATTGGATGCTGACCACATTAGTTTTAATGGACTCACCTAGCTGAAGGCGCTCGGTCATGCATCTGCACCAGATCACGAGTAGGAACGCCGTGCTCAACAACCCTTGCAGTCGCTAGCCAGATTATATCAGACGTTCCTCGATTTATTGATAGTCTATCAAATATATCTTCAAACCTCCTAGCTCCTGTCTTTTGATCTCACTTGGTGGGTACGACTCATAGTAGAAGGTGATACCGGTTAAAGCGTTGTCAAACTCCGAATACCTGTTGTATCTTCAGTATCAAATCGCGACTGGGTACGACGTGCTACGCATCCTTCGCAACTGTTGGCCATTTTAGACTGAGCGATTGCCAATACATCGATGGTCTTCCAAATATGTCTTCGGACCACTTCGTTTCTGACTTCTGATTTGACTGGGTTAGTACACTTCGACTATAAATGTGTTATTAGTGAAGGCGTTGTCAAACTCCAAATACCTGTGGCATCTTTACCACAGTTATCACTGCATATCGGTAACTTCTTCCTCTTTGTCTGATTAAAAAAGTTGTATCTTCCCGCATTCTCTCGCTTCCGCCTCCCTCCATATTGCCAATTAAGCAAATTATTTAATAAATCTCAAAATAATCATTTTGTCTTAGTACTAGTATCATCGCTTTATTATTTCCACATGGCGATCAAGCGGCCTCCTGCCTGGTACTTTGATAACCACTTGTATAAGAAAACACCCCTCAAACTACAGGATATACAAATATACTACCACACTGACTAGAATTAATACATTTGAGTGCCTAGAACACCACCAATCAAAGAGTACCAAATATCTGGAATCGTACTGAAACAACAAGAACTGAGTGCAAAGAACTTTATCTGCTTAAAAAAACTTGTAACAAAAGCGTTGAAAATTTGCAAGATACTATTATTCTTGTCGTTTTAAAATGTTAAAATTGAAGGACAAGGTTGGTGAAAGGTTGGCGGGAATATGTGTAATTCAGTTTTGATGGGTAACTAATTACCTGTAGTTCTGTTTCAAATATTTTTCTTGATTTAATGCTTGTATGACTGATGATTGTTGTTAATTGATTTTATTGATGGCCCTAAGTGTATTTTGTGCGCTTGCCTTGTCAGTGACTTACCTTTCCTATTGTTCTTTCATAACTCTCATTCCACTCTGCATAATGCTCTAGTACGCAGCGTACCTTCAGCCTAACGCGAACCTCCACAAAGTCAACATAAAAAGAAGTGACATTTACGGGTTACGAATAAGTATCTGACCAGCCTCGTGTGTTAACTTATAATTTTTGGTCGACTTTTGAGCAACGCTTAAATGATATTATGAGTGTACATCTACTAGCTAGGACTAAATGAGGGTTATAAAGCAGTGTTATAAATTAGAATTATGATTCGCAATTGATGGTTATGGTAGGGTATTATGAGAGATTTATTTAACTGACTTTATGGGTAATTATTATAGTGGAATAAGAAGTGAGAGTACAACCCCAATCTCCCTATTTTGGGGAGATCGTTATCAAAATTTTTTTAGGGTTTTGTGCCGTTTTCCCAAAATTTCCCCAAAACTTCGGGGAAAACTACCACAATTCTTACGACTTTGGGGAAAACCCAAGTTCCCCAGAACGGAAAGATTGGGATGAGAACTGACAATAAAGGAAGGGAAGGCTAGACTTTAATTTATGGACGACCTTTGAACGAATTTTAAGTGACCCTGAGAATATTGGCCAATCAGCGAACAGTAAGTATAGAGTAAAGATGTCATACAAAATCAAGGAAATATAGTGGATACACTTATACGTGGTTTAAAAACTTGTCAGGGTTAGAAAGAGGTTCAGAGGTTCTAAAACCGTAATGCTTGAAGTAGAGGAAATCATCCACACGTCTACAGAATAGTCGGTATCTGGAACCATGATAAAGTCTCAAAAACTCTTTCAACCTCAACCACATAGCTTCAATATTGTTTATGTGCACTCCGGTTGTTGAGTACACAAAATGTCACTTGTGGATAATGACACGATGCATATAACCTAACCTATATAGGAGTCTGTACGCTCTCCAAACATCCGTATATATCGTAGTACCTGGCTGCAGCCAATGTTACTGGTGCTTCTATTATCCAGTTCGCAATAATTGTTGTAATTTGCCTTAGTTAGGAATTATATATAGGGTTTTTATCACGAACTGACATCAGTTATAATGCCAGAAACGTTATTAGCCAAATAGATGAAATTAGTTTGTTTATAAAGATCAGTAGACGTTAATGTTGAGATAAAATTAAGTAAAATAATTTAACATTGAGGGGTCAGGATGCATCGCGAGGTATTACAGCAGTAAGATTGGTAATTACAAGTCTTCTCTCACAATTGTGAAACTTCGTCGATAAGTTTTTCTTCAGGGTTTGTATCAGTAAGTGCAATAGTGGGCTTAAGGTAAGGATTAGGTTGACATGAGCTGCTGAGTATGCATCTACTCACATCTTGAAATCTGCAATTTCGTTGTACTTTTTTATTTCTACTTGATCATATAAATAGTGGTACAAAATGGCACCAAATACATATGCGCCACACAAGTCACTTGATTTATGTGTGGGTTATGATACTGTTCGGGTGCTCAAAGCAAAGCAAGCGGTTTTCCAACTCCCCTAGGTGGACCCCCCATGTGTACCAACCCGGTTAAATTGCCGGATATTCGCCTTTCGTAAACAGCACCTGTGGCGCGAGAATGCATCGAGTAGAACTTCCTTGTCAGTGGTTGAATGCACGTGGCCGTGTGAGAACATTTCGAGAGGTAGATCTGACTCTCCCCACCGTTGGCCGTATCAGGGTATGTGGGGGCTCAGTTACACACTTAAAATGCATGTAAATTTTTCGCAATAAATGCGGAAGCGTTCAACAAAATGAGATAGGATCAATCAGAAAACTCTGTCAAGGTAAACCCTATCATCTGAAACTATTCTCCCTAGCTTATAAACGAATCATACTGAGTAGCTCATGTCACCTCACCCCCCACTTTAACCCTACTATTATGCTCCACGAAATAATTTAAAGAATCATTCATCAGAGTGAATGCACAGGTTTGATCGGATTTCTTTCACTCTCATTATCCGTTCTGAAACGGTCTCGTCCAACGTGGTCATAGCCAATTCAGTACATATTTTATGAAAGAGGATGAAAAATCACGTACAAAAGCACGGATTATCGTTTCACCAAGATTCGACTAAGTACAAATAATTCGAATTGTAGAAACATTTAGTCTCATGTTTGATTGTTTGTTGTTCTCAATATCCCTAATGAAGATCAGTAAATAAACCAACTCTGAAAAATTCTTTTGAAAATGTCTTGTCCAAATTAATTCACCTCATAATTTTAATTTTCAAAAACTATTTTGCAGATTTTGTATACTATGTCTATATTTTTACGGATTAAACGTCCAAATACTGATTGTCCTAGTCAAATCTGTGAAGCACAAAATCTTATAAAACGTCCTAAAGCTGACTTACAATCAATTCAATTTAAATATATCGGTAGTCAAACTTCAAATTGCTCATTAATTGGCAAGATCGACAAAGTATACACTTCCTCCGAAAAGTTATGTAAGATTATATGTAACACTTCAGATGCTACTGTTGTCGGAGAAAATCAAACAGTCAAGTGTCAGGTGAGTACCCTACATCTTTTTTTGTGCATGTCAGTGAAAACTAATGTAACCCATTTTACCAAATGCAGGTTTATGTGTACTTGACTGTGAACCAAATTCATTTTGTTTGAAGGTTGGTGGTAATACTCAGCTATCCAAACCGAATTAAACGAAATAGGGTTCATAACTATAGTGGTTGATAGATGAACACATTAGCCATATTATGCCATCGTTTCTTGTGCACATATTATTTCTTATTGGACATTATCAGTTCCTTATAGTTAGCTCTGTGCTTCGCAACGTAATAACATCATGTTATGGTAGTAATTAGTTTTACTGTTAGATTAATACAACTCAAACTGATTTACTTCGTAATTAAGTCTTAGAAATGTATTTAAGGTAATCCTGTGAAATCTGCTCTCGCATTTCCAGTAACTTAATAGTATTATGCTCTTTGCAGGACTTAAATGTCATAAAACTACAACTAACCAAGTATTCAATGTTATTTATTTCCAGTATAGTTCGTAATGAATGTTATTACCGTCAGTTATCCGACTGTAGAAAGTATTGTAACTTGGTCGTCGAGTTCGGATATTGTGATGAACCAGTCAAGCTATATTGACCAGAACACTTTTTCATTTAGATCCTACCATGCTCGGAATCCAGGTCGCTTGGATAGTGGTAAGAATGAAATCGGCAAACTAAAAGTCTGAGCTCGAAGTCTCACTGTTGGCTATAAGGTATCTCCCTTAAGCAACCAGGGTCATCCACAGCTAATTTGCTTTTCTACATCAAAACGGAACGGCCACAATAGATTAATCCTCAAAGCAGATCGCTTCACTTTGACACATATTTCCGTTGCCAATGGTAAGGTCTTAGAGTGTGGGGCTAACTCATCGTAATAATATTACGCGTCTGTTTGATCTCAAGGAGTTGCTATTTGAGCTCTACAGTCATATTCTCAGGCCATTAAGATAACAAATAACTCAGTTTCTTCTTCAGCTACTCCAAACGAAGTATTCTTGCACGATATGGGCGTCCGGCAGATGGTAACCGTCATCATATTTCCAGCTTCAACCCTCAAATAATAAATAGTAGAGTCATGGTTTAGAGTATATGTGTATATATGTACTTGGTGGGATAAATGACACTATAGCTTTAATTTAGTGTCAAATTATCCATATCCTCTACCTTGTTCTTAGGTTGACTCACAAAATTTTTTGGATGTAGATTGTTGTTTCTGAACTGTCGAAATAGTATTGGTTTGTAAAATTCAATATCATCCATAGTATCCTCATATAATGCTGGTACGCGTCATAGTCTAACGAATAAATAAATCCGAATATACTAGTTTCATTGTATCCTTGATACACCTGTGCACTATGTAAATATATTGCAACTTTGACTTCAATAAAGTGTATAAAACTACTTTTATCTTCTTGTTTCGTACTGTGCTAATTAAACTGAGAAGTTCAGTTTATTAGTGTTAACTTTGTTAATGATGACTTTGATAGAATTTAAGTGAATCAATTATACATCAGTTACAATAATTAGAATTTATAAACTGAGTAATTGCCACTTAACATAAATTATGGATAATGTTCACATTGAATAATTTCATGTAACAGAATTTCACCCAAATCAATATTGATTCCTTTCCTCATATTATTATTAATTTTTTATTATTTGAACACAGATATTGGTACAAGGACGCACCAAATATATATGTGCCACACAAATCTCATTTGATTTGTGCTAAGGCTGTGATACTGCCTGGGTGCCCAAACCGAAGCAGGTGGTTTTCTTAGGGGATCACACTCAGAGCCTTCGACCTAAAGGTCTGATCCACAAGGCAGTGGACATTGTACATCCTTTAACAATTCCTCAATTTCTTTTTGTCCTAGGTTAAGTCTTATGTGTTTGAGATCTGTTTCAACTTTGCTTTATCTTTTATGATCATCTTTGTCAAAGTTATATCCTTTTTATTATCACAGGAATTATCTATAGTTTGTAATTTATAAAGAAAAATAGTTTTTTCGAATAGACTAAAAGGTTAGTGTGAAATGGTTCCGTGAACATTATGAACAATCGATTTTCAGTTTAGTTACAGTTTAATTTGTTTATGTTTGGTTTTATTTTGAAAAAGTGTACGTTAAATCTTGAATTGTACATTTGATTTGACTATAGCGTGGTGTTTATACTGTTTTTCCGGTAAATACGCGAACTGAGGTCATAAAAAACCTAAAGTAGGGAATATCAATGAATTCTCTTCACTTATTTTTATAATACACTTCATTTCCATTAATCAAACATCTCTCAGGCTATTTATCTGTCACAAAGATCACTAACTTTTAGTCTGAGACATGTTGGTAGATGCAGACTACTTGGTTGGGGTCTGCGTGACTATCGTAACCAATGGTTGGAGACTGTGGGTGACATGGCTGAGAATCCACCACAATGTAGTAGGTGTATACACTCTCTATCTTCCTTTAAACTACGAGATTGAAATAGCTTCATATCTTTCTTTCTATGAACTAATTCTTTCTTCCTGTATTATATCGTTATATGCAATCTTTTACTACTGTTGCAGTAACTACTATGAATTTGGTGTTCATCTTGTTGTATTAATGAGGTATGGCAACTTGGCCGGATGCATATATGTGCTTGGTCCTACATTGTAGCTGACTGACTGATTTGATAGCCCAGTTCGCTTGTTTATTGGAAATTTCATGGGTGTATGAAAACGTTCTTTATGTCTTTTAATTGTTGTTAAAGGTTCGTTTAATTATGTATACCATCTTTGCATGGTGTGACAAAACTTCAATAAATGCAGCATTTTATATTTTAATGTATTAAACATAGTTTGTTGAGTTGATTCACTGAAGACTGTTTTAAGATCCAATGTTTGTTTAAAAAATCCCATAAGAGTCGGTCAAAGATGACATTTTTAAATGGCTGATTTGCGGTTCTGAAACCTTATCCTCAATAAAAAAGGTTTCCTTATTTCTTTTTCGTTCTATTGATTATCAGATGGATCGACAAGTTAGAGTAATGTACGTATTTCTGTTTTGAATGTTTTGTGTTAGTGTGTCCGAGTTTTACAAAGCCGAGTTTACTTCATTTTTAAATTAGTGTTGTGATATAATTCTCTCTTATTACACAACCCAGTTATTCCTATTAGACAATATGTCTAACTGTGCGATGATGCCCAAGGCATGCAATTCGCACTTAATCAGTTGGCAATCAGTGTCCGTAGGTATGGTATGTGCTTTGTACCTTCGAAGTGCAAAGTACTTCTACAAGACTGGCAGGATTCTAATCCTGTACTCACCCTGGATGGTGAGCAGATAGACGTAGTTGAGAAGTTCGTGTATCTGGGTAGCTGCATAAGTGCTGGTGGGGGTGTGAGTGATGAGATCAATGCACGAATAGTGAAAGCCAGAGCGGCTTATGCCAATCTGGGCCACCTTTGGCGCCTTCGTGATGTTAGTCTGGCCGTAAAAGGTCGGATCTACAACGCGTTGGTGAGAGCAGTTTTGCTCTATGCTTGTGAAACCTGGCCTCTCTGAGTTGAGGACGTTAGACGACTCTCTGTGTTCGATCATCGCTGTCTCCGAAGGATTGCTGACATCCAGTGGCAACACTATGTTAGTAATGCAGAGGTTCGGCATCGTGTATTCGGGTACAGAGATGACAATGCAATTGATGTCACCATCTTGAAACACCGACTTCGGTGGCTTGGACATGTTCTCCGAATGTCGTCCCAGAGAATTCCACGTCGTGCATTATTTGCCGACTCTGGGACTGGTTGGAAGAAGCGGAGAGGTGGTCAGTGCATAACATGGTGTCATGGCATGAAAGGAAGCTGCAAAGGACTGGCTTGTGTTGGTCCTTCACGACTCTCCGGCTGGGGTCCGACAGTTGGTGCAACACAGTGGCTAGAGACGTTATCAGATATGGCTCAGAATAGAAGCCAGTGGCGATCCTGCTGTAACCTTTTACTTTCTGCATAAAAAGTGGTTGTATCTTCCTTAACTGAAAGACTTGTTCTGATTGTACCTTTTCGTTTCTCCCATTATTATTATTACGCTACCTTACCGTATTCTGTTCGTTATTGTCCTTTTTCTTTACGCTCCTCATCTTTTTCCCTTCTGCTCTTCAAATTCCCATTGTTTTGTGTGGCGCATATATATTGGCGCTCTCTTGTAGCAATATTCATGTGTTCAAATAAATAAATAAATATTCTTATTATTCAGTATTCTTGAACGCCAATTCACTCGACAAATCCCCAAATCAGAACACAGTTGAACAGGAAAGAGATCATATTCCAATTAATAAGGTTAGATGGAAGTAAGAAGCACTATAGGAGAAACGTTAGTATATTGATAGTTTTCTTATATGAGAAGATTCTAAATTGTTCTTCAAGTATCGACTAGCGTTGATTGGATAAGAATTAGTTAATCAGCGTGCACCAATGCAATTGTGCATGAAACATGCATATTTTAATCCAATCTATGTCCTGTTAACATGTTGTTTTTTACACTTCGAGCTAAATAACTTGCTTTAAAATAAATTACACATTCTGTAGTTTGTATATGTTTTAGAAATAATTATACGTTGATACCTCAGTAATCAGATAAACAGGTTAACTGATGTTCTGCACACGAACTTGTATGTCTGAGGTTATCTACACTCTTGTCAGTCTTCATTCACTTTGTTGTATCCAGTACTTATATCTATTTCTCCCGTTTATGTAGTGAATGAGTGTTGTATGTTCGAGTGTAATTATCATTTAAAAAATCTCATTCTCAGTGTTTACTTTTATTATGAATGTATTTTTCACGCGATGTCGGGTTGCGCTACACTTAATTACAACAGATAAGTGTATGGATAACTCCAGTATCTTGAATGAAAATTGCACATCGACATCCAGCTTTCACTCCATTAAATAAATGAGAGAAATGAAGTGATCAGAGCGGTTGTATATAACATTGAGATGTTATAGATAACCTTATCCAAACTGTACGACAGTTAACGTTTGTTTTAACAGTAAAATAATGACTGAATTAGATTACATAGTCAGTAAATACATGTAGAGTAAGTGTAATCATACTATTCTGTATTCTATTGAGGTCAAGCTTGATCGTATATATGACCAACGTTCATCTTACTTTACTAAGCATGTACTAACTTGTTACAACGTTGTGTTCTATAGACACTAGTTTTAAAATGTGATTCCTATAGAAGTCAACTTTTTTTTGTTTATAAAATTACTTACTTACTTACTTACTTGTTAGCGTTTTTTAGCGAGTTAGTTTTCTACGGGATGGGGACGCTAACCCTATGCCCAACCCTCCTCCTTTATCCGGGCTTGGGACCGGCAGTAGCCCCCGGAGGGACTTCAGGCGGAGTTTTGTTTATAAAATTATTCCACAAATATCAGATTAGTGTATTATTTAATGATTCTTGTTTAGAATTAGATATCTTTGAAAGCTTTATTATTGTAATTCTCATTTTCATCCTGATTGTTAAACATTCATTCTCAACTGATGGGATTATTATTATTCAGTTGTAAGGATTTGAATCTTTCTATTGTTGTTGTTGAAGTCTGGAATTGATCTGTGTCTTTTGGTTTATGTACGTCATATATAGATTGTCTTGGTATTGTCATCAATTACAGGAAATCTTTTAAGAAGAGATGAACTCAGTAGCTAAATAAATGACGACTTGGTATTTAAATCGAAAGATACTGGTTCTAGGTCCCAGAGCGAGCATCAACACTGGGGTTCAGGTACATCCAGTTAGTGAAGAGTCCAAAATAAAATGAAACGCATGTCTTTGATTCAATTGCTAACCACTATCCATCTCTGCTTAGAAACATGTGTTATCTATAGATTTGATCTTAATATACTGGATAAGTATGAATGATTTGATGTGAGTGCTTGAACGAATAGATACCGAATTCGAACCCAGGTTTAGACAGTTGGGTAAGATTAATGGCCGCCCTCCTCATAAATGTTGTTCTTTCGAAATCCTGTACGTAAATACATGGTGAATCAATTACATTGAATCTTGCATAAAGAAAGGACAATTATCATAGCAGAATATTGGTAACGTATAGAATGTATGTATACTTATTTCATTTTGATAGTTAATACAATAGTTTTAGGTTTTTAGTAGCTGAGGAGAACTAACAAAGTAAATGAATTCACGTTATTCTGTTATGATGTTTGTTCTTTCTTTATTCAAGTTAATAAATGAGAAAAAATACATTAAATCTGTTTCTCTTAATGCTTCGACGTCTAAGCAAAAGAACACAATACTGTTATATTCTTTTTTGTTGCTCTAATAATGAGGTCGGACAAGGTAATCAAATCGGCAAACATTGTGAATCCACTTCAATAGAATAATTTACTCATCATTTATAGTTTTCATTCTATTGGAGTTTAAACAAAATCTCTAGTTAAATTGAAGTCATTTATTCTGATAACATTTCCGACTAAACATAATGGCCACAAGGCATTCAAAATTCCAAATACTGAATGTACAGGTTTAAACCCCACTTCACGTACTTCGGCTCATACAATCGTACAGTATACTAATGCAACTAATCTTCACATAGAGAGAACTGTCATACTGAGTGCCTTCTCCCGGCGAGGGTGTTGTATACGAAATTGAGAGAATGAAAAGAGAATGTTTGGTGCTTTAACCGGGTTGGTGGACACGGAGAGTCCACCTAGGGGAGTTGGAAGACTTTCATTCCAAACCAATGGTGCACATTGGCTCCAGTATCCTGAAGGAACAAATGGCGTATGAACCAATCGTTGGTCACCAATTACCATACGACTGCATCTCCTGAAGTTGCTTCACTACCTTGTGGATAAGACCTTTAGGTCGAAGGCTCCGTGTGTGTGGTCCCCCAAGAAAGTCACCTGTTTCGCTTTGAGCACCCGAACAGTACCTTAGCTCTTACACAAATCGAATGATCTACAAGGTGAAATTATTATATCAAATCCCTTTTTTTCTTAAACATTTTCTTCTGTTTAATAGATCAAAGTGAATAATCTAAAGCGTCCTGCTATTACTGCTGAAATTTTCAATGATTTCAATAATCTTAATATTGATTCATCCAAAGTATCTATTGGTTCAAATCCTCCGAAAATTTTCAAAATTATTGAATTAACCCCTGAATCAACTAATGAATCAAATGTATTACCAAAATTAACTGAAACGAATCATTCAAATAATGATATACATCAAACGAATTTCATTTATGATATATACAAAATGATATCACCATCCTCATCATCCTCCTCATTATCGGATCCAAAATGTTTATCATTAGAACAAACAATATGGTGTACAAATGATCAATTGATTAGAAATGCTGATAATTATATACATGATGAATATAGTTGGGGATTCAATGAAGATTCTTATGATTATACTAATGTTGATGATGATGAAGATGATTCAAATAGTGAATCAAATTGGCGTAATGATTATCCTGATGAACAAGACAGTAGTAGTAGTAGTTCATCTAGTCATTCAAATTCACTATATTCTTCATCGAATAGTAGTTGCAATAATGAAGATTCAGATTATTATTATTAACTTTTTTTCTTGCTGTATGCATTTTGTTTTTTTCTAAAAATACATTTGTATAAAGTTGTCTACTCCTTTTGTGGTGTGCGCTACTTATATACACATAAGTAGTATATAACGATAGTCAGCAGTAGATTGGATTTCAAAGAGGAAAGAACGGGAACGGAAAACAATTGGCATGAAAATGGAGGAACAATGAAACCTTAGACGATGGATTGATATATTGTAAAATAATCAGTCAGGTTTGAGACAATGGAGTGATATTTCGTAAATTAACTATTTCCTGTATTGTTCTCAGATTTAAGTGAGATATTCTGTAATTTCCTGTTCAAATACATTCGATTGTCTCCAATCATTTTCTTGTTCACTACATTGGGTGTTGATTCCAACCAAGAGAGAGAAAGGGTGTTTGTTCTGCGGACGCCGTTGCAGGCCTTAAGCTGAGGTACCGGCTGGGGCAGGTGGCGTTGGCTGTGGCGGGTGCTGTCGACGGAGAGGAGCGGTGGAACGTGCGGCTGCTGGGCGGAAATCGGATGTAGGTAGCTCAGCAGGTCGGTGGAGCACGGGTGTTAAGCGTCCCAGGTGCCGGGTGGATATCGGATGTTGGTGCCCTGGCAGATCGACGGAGTTATGGACGTCAGCCTGCCGCAGACTCGACATTTTTACGGAGAGCTTGACGCAGACTGCAAAAAAGAGGAAAGTGGCATGGCGAGCAGAACCACCACAGGAATGACTGCTTTAAAGGGGGGACGAGTGTGGTGCACTACTTATATACACGTAAGTAGTATATAACTATAGTCAGGAACGATGTATTTCAATAGATGATCGAGAAGGAAAGATCGGGAACGTAGAGCATTAGGTATTAAAATTCAGGAACAATGAAATCTGAGACGATGGAACAGTCAAGTTTGAGACAATCGATTGATGTTTTTCAAATTACTTTTTTACTGTATTGTTTTCAGATTTAAGTGAGATATTCTGTAATTTCGTGTTCAAATACATTCGATCGTCCCCACTCGTTTTCTTGTTCACTACACTTTTACAATCTAGTTTTCTTCAATTATAATTACTATTGTATTTTGTGTGACATTGGCATACTGCCTAAATGTGTAGGTCAGAGCAGGTAGTTTTGTTATAGAATCACTTTCTGAACGTTTTATACCTGTAGGTCTAATCCACGTAATCGTGAAGTGACGTTAGGAGATGCAATCTTGTGGTAATCAGTGACAAAAATAAGTTCGTACCCGTTCATATATATGTCTGATCTATTGCTTGTGTATTTTGAAACCATCGAGTAAACGATACCGAGCTGGGGCATCGGATACTATATAAAGATTGGGAATCGGTTGATAAGGTAGTGGAATCATTAACTGAAGTGGTTGATACATGTGTTATGTATGTCCAGTCACCGCCCATCTCGACGGGTGATGTCTGGTGTAGGAGTAAGTTGGCAAAACGTTAGGAATAGCGAATACATGGCACCAGCCCATAAAGTCACTGATGGTTGAACTGAAACGTGTTAACAGGCTATATACTACCTGGTTGAGGTCTGCATGATTATCGTAACTAGTAGTGAAATTACTCAGAATCATCGTCAACCCTACAGGTGCATTCACTCTTTGTCTTCCTTTGAAGCATGAGTCTCGAAATCTAATGCCTTTTTAATACCTAGTCTTTTCTACTGATACTGTTACCATACCTGCTATTCTTGAATTTGTTTCTTAAAATTTTTTTATCTCGCTGCGCTAATGTCGTTTGGCAACATAAACTGACGCACGTATGTGTCACGTTCTACGTTGTGTATAACTAAATAACACCCATAAAGACCATGTGTAATCGAGCTTCACCAGTGTCTTGGACTTTGCAGTCACTTCTGGGTCATCAAGACCATACCTATTCAACATTTCTTTCCAGGTACTTCAGGAAGAAATATCATTTAACTTAAATCATCGTTTTGAGTAGTTCATGTGTATGTTACGTGTTCTTATTCTATTCACAATACTGATTAGTATAGAAGTAGGTTTGAAAACTGTTACAAGTTAGCAGATGAAGATATCATCAATTCACGATGTCATTATTTACTGATCTAAACCTTATCGATGGTTACAAAATTCTGGTTAACATACACTTGTTAATAATTTGTGGTTTGGAATATTAAGTGATATGTCCTGATACATTTGCTTTTCTAATTTTTCATTCTTCGATGTACATTGTTCTTTTTTGGACTGTACTTCTCATGCGTAGATTTCTGCAACCTTAGTGCATTTTAATAGTTGAATTCATGAGTTGATTGAAGCTAGACCACCATGGAAAACCTAGAAACACTGGACGACCGTTTTATCCCAGTATGGAACTCTTCAGCAGAGCACATCCACGATCCCGCCTCGCGAGACTCGAACCCAGGACCGATAGGTCTAGCGCGCGAACGCTTAACCTCTAAACCACTGAACCGGCATCCAACGGTGTTAATGTCTAACTTCAACCAATCCAAGAAATCGAGCTACCGTCCACCATTGTCATCAGTGAGTTACTATCTCGCAACAGACCCGGTTGAACTCCACTGGTCACGGCTTCTCAGTAGAACTTAGTGATATGAAAAAAACAACGACTTCCCCATAAAAAATATTTTTCTATGGAAATGTCGTTTTACAATGAAAAAAATAGTTGTCATATTGTGGAATACTTTTGTAAGACCAAATAATTGTATTTGCGTCTGTGCAACCGATTAGCTGATTAAATAGCCAATTTAACTTGAGGCATTTCAGCAATGATTGCACGAAGTGCTGATAAACCATAAAATGATACACAAAGTCTACCGATCTCATTTAAACTCTCTGTTTCACCATCGACAGTTTTAGCAGCTGTAACTAGAAATTAGAAAAAGATATACACAAAGAAAGTGAAGGGAAGAAATTACATTTATAAATGATATTTGTTACAGACGGAACTCGGTTAGGGTACCATTAAAAACTAGGGAATACTGGCGAGCTACTCTTTTCTGGTACTGAACAATACGTATCTAGAATACTTCAGCAGTGAGATATTTTCGACTTAACACGAGATAGAAGCTTAACCTTCAGTAAGTATCCACCGGTCTCCATGTTCAAGCTTCATTCATTCTAGAGTTATAGCTGAATCATCACTAGCCTCTCACTGTCTCGCTTCGATATGTTTGTCCACTAAACGGATATTTCACAACTTCAATACATTGGATGACATTAATTCTATGCTCATACTCCCTGACTCACTAACGAGAGTGGAAAGTCCAGTTTCATAATTCACATGTGCGTACTTTGTTTAGTGAAAACGCCACTCATTATTGATAGGCATGAAAGAGAGACAAGTATATAGACACATACATCTATTATACACTCACGCCAAATGTCATATAGAATGATTAATTATGTACGTGTGTAACACTTAGTAGCTACAATTTTGTTCCACATAAGTTACGCCAAGGGATTGAACATACTCAACCGTTAAACACCACAAATAACATACTAACACTACAATGTGATTATTTATTTCAACACATAAAGATTGGCACAAGGAGGCACATAAATCGCTCGATGTATATGAGGGCTGTTGTACTGTTCAAGTGCCCAAACCGAAGAAAGTGGTTTTCTTAACGGGACCACACCCACAACCTTTGACCTTTACGTCTAATGCATAAGGCAGCGGAGCAACGTCACGAGATGCAGTCCCATAGTAACCAGTAACCAACAATAGGTTCATATGCCATTTTTTCCTACAGGATTCTGGAGTCCATGTGCATCATTAGTATGGAATGAGGGATTTTTAACTCACCTGACATGGACTCTCCGTGTCCACCAACTCTGTTTAAGTCCCTGCTGGACATTCGCTTTTCGTCGTGTCAATTTCGTAAATAACACTCGTGGTGGGAGAATGCAGTGAGTAGGACTTCGTTGGTAGTGGTTGTATACACATGTCCATGTGGGAGCATTTGTAGATGGGGATCTGACTCTTCTCACTCTCGGCCGCACCAGGGCTCTTAGGGGCCTACAGTGTCAAATCATCAATGATCATGCAATAATATTACTTGAAGATACTCTTTTTTACAGACGGACATCAGTTATAGATCTAGTAAAAAGCAAACAGAATTGACTAGTTATTTTGTCCTACGTCATTCATCATTACTGAACAATACTTGCTCATCATATAAAAAAGAAGCATAATATTGAAAAGTTTTCTTACTTGGAATAAATACATGATCTATATCACAATTATCTTGTATTATTTGTCTAATATTAATCATAGCATAACCAATTTCTTCACATTCAGCTGATTGTGTTGTTGATGTAGATGGTTCACTAACAATAATAAATATTAAATTACCATTGTTTGGATCTTCTGGTAATAAATAACTTGCTAAATATTGTCTACGTTCATAATTCTTTGTAAAATCAACTGGAAATGCTATAATGTAGAAAAAAAGGAGAATATGGTAAGGTTGTGAACCCCTGTCCCTTCCCCCACCGCCTACCGTCGGTAGATAGGTACGAAAAATTTATTTACCTCAGAGATAGTCTTTTGTTTTCACATTGATCTTAGCAAAAATCAAAGCCTGGAAACTATCCTATCACACTTAGCCAAGTACTAACAATATACAACCTAAGATAATATGTATTGTTTCTAGTTGTACACATTAAGTGTGTAGCACGCTAATATTCTTACTTTTATTTAGTTGACATTTCATTCAGGGTTTTAGTTGTATAGTTTTAGGATTATCAGTATTCAATAAAAGTGAAATATCCATCAGCAACAGCTTACTTTAGGAGAGAACAAACCAGATTCCAAATGAAGAGGAAATTAGGAAAAGATAATGGAAGTGGATAGGATATACATTACGGGAATCATCAAACTGCATCACGAAACAAACGCTAACTTGAAATATTGGAGGGAAGCTGAAAAGAGGAAGGTCGAAGAACACATTACGTCGTGAAATAGAAGTAAATATGAGAAGGATGAATAAAAACTGTAAAAGAATT